GAATTGAACAAGCTACTCATAGAATTCGAGGAAATATTTAAGGAACCCAAATAGCTTACACTTGCAAGAGCTATCGATCATGCTATCCACCTGAAGCCAGGAAGTCGAGTACCATACCTTCGACCTTCAGGTACCCTCACTACCAAAAATCTAAGATTGAAGCATTGGTGGCTGAATTATTTAGGAATGGTATGATCAGGCATAGTACTAGCCTTTACTCTAGCCCAATGATTTTAGTAAAGAAAAAAGATGGGAGTTGGCGCGTCTGTGTTGACTATAGGGCTCTTAATAAAATTACTATTCCAGATAAATTTCCTCTACTCATGGTAGATGAACTTTTAGATGAGCTTGGTGAGTCACAAATTTACTTCAAGCTAGATTTGAAAATCTGGCTACCACCAAATCAGGATGAGGGAAGAAGACATCCCTAAAACGGGTTTTAGAACTCATGAGGGGCATTACGAATACTTAGTAATGCCCTATTGGCTTACCAACGCCCCTTCTACATTTCAAGCGCTGATGAACAAGATACTGAGGCTTTTTTTAAGGAAATTCACATTGTTTTTTTTTATGATATCTTAGTCTACAACAACAGTTCTGGGGAACATCTTGCTCACTTAAGCGCTGTTTTTACAGTATTACGACACTACAGGTTAGTAGCTAACAAAAAAAAATGCAGCTTTGGTAGAAGACAGATAGAGTATTTGGGCCACTGTGTGTCCGCTGTGGGAGTTAAGGCAGACCCAGAAAAAATCCACGAAATGATGTCGTGGCCTAGTTCAACGAACATCAAAGGTTTGAGGGGATTCCTTTGGCTGACTGGGTGTTATTGAAAATTTGTGAAAGATTATGGCAAGATTACCAAGCCTCTGACAGAGCTACTTAAAAAAGATGGATTCAAGTGGCGTGAGGAAGTGGAACGAACTTTTCAGTTGCTGAAATCTAGGATGAGCTCAGTGCATGTCTTAGCTTTAACAAACTTCCACAATACTTTTACAGTAACTACTGATGCGTCGGGGAAGCGTATTGGTGGTGTACTTACGCAAAACAATAGACCCATTGCCTATATTAGTCAAAGGTTCGTCAGCAGGGCCCAAGCTAAGTCCATTTACGAGAAAGAATTAATGGCTATACTCTTTGCAGTGCAAAAATGGAGACATTACTTGATGGGAAGGCATTTTATCATCAAGACAAACCAACGTAACCTCTGATTTCTTACTGACCAACAGTTGTTAAGTGAAGACCAGCAAAAATGGATCTCCAAATTACTTGGGTTTGACTTTGAGATCCAATACCCAGCCAGGGAGGGAAATCAGGTTGCGGATGCTCTCTCAAGGAAAATGGTTTTTAAAGCTTTGTCCCGGATTCATTGGATTGCTTTTGATGAATTAGAGGCTGAAATTCAGCAAGATGATAGGCTTAAAGGCATTTTGCAGGACTTGTTAATAGCCCCTGATACTCATCCGGGTTTTAAGGTGCACGAAGGGAAACTGTTCTATAATGATCAGTTGGTAGTACCCAAGACTTGAAACCCTTTTGTTAGAAGAGTATCATAATACTGGTATTGGGGGACATTCTGGGTACTTTCGCACTTATAAACGGTTGGCTGGGGTAGTATATTAGGAAGGCATGAAGAAAGACATCAAAGATTATGTGGCGGGCTGCAATGTTTGTCAACACTGTAAGGCCCAAAATTTAAGCCCAGCTAGGCTTCTCCAACCCTTACCCATTCCTTCTACAGTCTGGGAAGATATATCATTAAATTTTGTTGGTGGTTTGCCCAAAGCATTGGGAGTTGATACTATCTTGGTTGTTGTCGACCGGTTTACGAAATATGCCCATTTCCTTCCTTTGAAGCATCCTTACGCAGCAAAAGATGTTGCTAATTTATTTATTAAAGAGGTGGTCCGCCTCCATGGTTTCCCTACCACTATTGAGTCTGACAGAGATTGAGTTTTTTTGAGTAACTTTTGGGCAGAATATTCAAGAGTGCAGGCACAAAATTGCACTGCAGCACTGCATAGCACCCGCAAACCAACGGTCAGATGGAGGTCGTGAACAGATGTTTAGAAGCTTATTTTCGTTGTTTATGTTGTACCAAGCCCAAACAATGGCCTAGGTACCTTGGGCTGAATTCAGAATTACAGTAAGCGGAATTCTGTTTAATTCTCAGTTTACTGTAATTCCCTTTATTTTCTGCAAATGGTCTCTGTAGGTTATTTTGTTCAGTGTCTCTGTAATTGTCCTAACTCTTTCCCTGCCCTCCCCCTTCTTCATTAACCAAGAGCAGATTAAGTTGCAAATTCTTGAAAGAGTGGTTTGGATTCCACCTGTTTGTCTTCACACTTGAAGCACACCCCTTTCCTCATGTGATCTTTAAGTTCAGCCTCTGTTAATCCTCGTCCCTTAACCCTAGAATTACTGCTGCTTGCTCCTTCGGCAGGTTTTGAAGATGCAGCCACTCCACCTCTATGAGTATTAGTGGCTGGCCGCATATCCTTTCCTGTCGTATTGTGAATGGTCCACGTGTCCCCTCCACTGCCACCTATGGATAATTGACTCGCGTGCCTAACATTGTCTAAAGTTTGAACATTGCATCCAGGTTGTGCATTGCGATTGGGCCTGTTCCAGTTAGAGCTTGTTCCTAGCCCACACCTGTCATTGATTGATCCATGACTGGTTTTGTCTTTGCATGAGAGTCATTTCCCTCATCAGCTCCCCTAAGTTTATTACGTTCTTCTGCATCAACTTTGTTCTTAGACTCTTTGAAATGTGTTGTAAATATTAGGTCTTTTATTATTATTATTAGTATTTGTTGTATTGGGCCAAGCCCATTAGGTCAAGAATTAGGTTTTTTAGTCTCTATAAATAGAGACCTCTTTGTATTACCATTTTCTTTCAAGTTGGTATCAGAGCTCTCGATCCTGAGGGCTCTGCTTCCGCGCCTATTGTCTTTAGAACAAGAACCTTTTATTCTTTTTGTCTCTCGCTGCCATCAGCCGCCACCGGATTTTTTCCGGGGACCTCTTGGACCGAGAAGATCTCTGTTATACTGGATCTCTGTTACTGTTCATCGTCTCTTTTACTGTTCATCGTCTCCATTATTCTTCATCACAAGACAACATCTGTTCATCACGATTGGACCCTTTCTCGATGGTTTTTCAACTCCGAACAGACCCAGAAAGAACCGCGCTCACCGAACGACGTTGCTCCAGAAATTTCAGACCGGACGGCCACCGCACGCGCCCACACGCGCCGCCCCTTCAACCGCTAGTGAAGCCCACGCGCAGCCAATCTCACCAGTGCGTGGCGGCGCGTGAGACCATTTTTCCGGATCGGACCACCGCGATCTTGATCGTCCCTTCATCCTCTTTCGGGATCTGTGCTCCTCTCTTTGATCGGACATCATTTGGTATTTATTTGTGATTTTTTGGCTTCTTGGAGCTTTTCTTTGACCATTTTCTGTGCAGTATTGCCTCTTCTCAAAGGAGTTCTTTTTCAAAATTTTATGATGGTACCTCTTCTAGATCTAAGAGAGATGATCGATGGTGTTCTTATTGTAAAAGAACAGGTCATATCAAGGATTTATGCTTTCGCCTTTATGGAAAGCAAACTGTCTTAGAAAAGATGGCAAGGATGCGTGGTCAAGCGCATTTTACTTCTTCTGAAATAACCCCTGCACCTAATGAGATCCAATCTGCATTTCGTCCAGATGAGTTGGAACGACTCCGAACCATTCTTGATTATCTGAGTAAGCCATCTGATACTAGTGCTTTGGCTATGACTGGTATGAGCTCCAAAGCAATCTGCATTTCGTCCAGATTCTTTCAAGTAAATGCCATGGAGCCAAACTTTTCAAAACATGTAATCATCTACATAATGAATTGGCCTGATGATTCTTTCAAACTCAGCCTTGTAAGATGCAATGCTCCCACTTTGCCTTAGACTTATTAACTCTTGGTAAGGACTCCCTGTTGCTTCCAGCAAAAATCATTTCCTAACTTGCCCCATAAATTTACCCATGAGGAATTGGGATTAGTCCTCAACTATACCTGGGACCAATTAAGGGCCTCACCATCCAGTACCACTGTGATTGCATATATGTATGCATTGATAAGTATGTACATACATATACATATGTATATGATCCAGAATTAACTTACAACGGTATAAGATTGAGAAGTCTTACTTCCAATGTTAGTTGTTGATCCACTTCCATCTAACAAATGACTCACATATATAATAAAAAAGCCATTAAATATAAAAAGGATCAACAACTATAATTGAGAGTATAACTTATACTAGTGTAAAATGATCCTGTCTTTAGATATACATAAGAATGAGAAGTCTTACACACAATCTTAACAGTTGAACCTATTAATATGTAATGGCTCTAATTCATTACATTTGTGAGCCGTTAGATGCAAATGAATCAATGGCTAAGTTTGGGTGTTTTCTCAATCATAAGGAATGTTGACTTTTCTCTCCCTCTTTGGGATTCATTAAGATTTTGCTATACCTATGACATTGTTGCTTGGGGTGATTCTTGTTGCAAAAATCATAATTTGTGTTGGATTACCTTTGGTTATATGCTTGATCTTGGAGTGAATAGGAAATAAGTCTAATAGCACATATCAAGCTTTTGAGACATTAATGGCTCCTTGAGTTGCACTATGAATGGAAACCAGCTTACATAAAAGATAGGTGATAGATTATCTTTTAAAGAATTGGGGAATTGGGGAGTTGTTGAGCAACTTTGTGGTAATAAATCTTGAAGCAAGTAGTCTTCAATAGCATACTGGATTACCGGTTCTACAAATGCAATGTTTATCAAACTTACACTTCATCTGAGTTCTTTCCTTCCTGTATATATATATATATATATATATATATATATATATATATATATAACTTTGCATTATTGATGGATTGAAATCGAGTGTATCCTATTTCTGTCAAGGATATGATGATAATGGTTTAATTTGCTTGTTTGGTTCAAGGATGGTGGTCTTTCACTGGACTCACTGCAGAGGGTATGTACCTTTGAGGCTGAACTTGCTTTACTACTAAGAATCAGTCACAAGTATGGGAAATCTGGAGCACAGGTACTATTTTCCATGGGCATAATGGAGCATCTTGCATCAGGAAGGGCAATCAATTTACAGGTGAGGAAGTATTTTTCTTGTTAACGCTGCATCTCCTTGTTTTTTTCCATCTACCTTTTACTGAAGCTAAAGAATATACAGGGAGGTTTAAGGTGGGTCGAGACCAGACTTAGAAGAGATATGGCTGTGGATGTCGATAGACTACGAATGATTGTAACTCCAGTCTTGAGATTAGTCTTTTCATTAACTTCCTTGGTTGATGCATCAGACTTTTTGGAGGTTGGCTTTTGTGTTCTGTTTACAAATTTTCTAATATGGTCTATTCTACGTTTTTTTCTTCTTTTATTTTGTCCTCCCCTGCTAGCGAATCATTTTACCAGCTTCCCTATTGGTTTTATGGTTATTTCAATTGCTATTTAATTGTATGAAATAAACTGTTCAAGAGTTACAGAAAGATTGAACAAAGAATCGTGATATGTTTTATTGATACACCTCTTGAATGCTGGAGGGTTCTAATTACAAAAAGAATGCTCAAAAGAATTGTGATGTTTTATTGATACACCTTTTTGGAGGGTTTTGTAGTCATTGACATTTTTTTTTGCAACAGCTTATTTTAGTCTTGAACTGACCTCGTGCAGTGCTGAGAAACTGTTCATCACCGTATTGTATTGTATTGTATTGTATTTTCAATTCTTAAAATTTCCTTTTTGTATTGTATTTCTTTTTATTTTTCTTCTCTCCAAAAGAAAATAAGAAAATCCGATTTTTGTTGCCTTGATGAAAATTGTGTTAAATCTTTTTGCCTTTTGACTATAATATAGGTGAATAATAAAATTGTTCGCGAAGGAATTGATTTTATCAAAGGTAACCAATCACTCTTTGATCAAGTTCTCCGTTCAGACATTGCTGAAGCAGATGAATTAAGAATGGAGCAGGTCAATCTAGTTGTTGGTATTCTGAGCAAGGTACTGTTCAATCATGTCATTTCTCTTGATTTAAAAACTTCTGACTGGCTGTGTGATAGCTACCTTTTCTACCTGAAGTAAGTGTAGTTGAAGTCAAGTGGTATTTTATTATTGGATAAACTATCATGTAGTCAAATGCTGTACAAACTACTGGAATGCATTATGAGAATCACAGCATCTCATGATTAGAAGGATTGTGGTCAACTATTTTGTTTTATTGTTGTTCTCGGTTTATTGAGATTCTTAGTTAACTTTGGAATTGCCTATTTTTGGGTTCCTTTTCCTTGTATCTGTCTCTGCTATATAATGTGTCTCTGATCGTATGAATAAATCAAGAGATAGATTAATTTTCCGAACTCCAATCTTATGGTATTGAGAGCCTGGTTCTTCATACCCATAGATGAAAACCTGCTACTTAGTCAACTAGGGTCTTTTCTTTTTGTTGCTTGACGTTTTTATTTTTGTTTATTATAGGTTTGGCCATATGAAGAGAGTGACAAGTATGGTTTTGTTCAAGGGCTTTTTAGTATGATGCATGCTCTTTTCTGTCGTGATTCAAATGTTCCTAATTTTGCTCGATCAAGAGTATCACCTGAGGTGAGTTTGCTGTTTTCTTAATTCATGTTAAATTATGGAAAAAGACATCCTTGCATTATGCATACATAATGATACTAATCTTTTAGTGATATTGATATATGAATGATCAGAATCAGAGGAATTCAGAACTACAGATGTTTAATGTATGCTTCAGCCTGAGCTCGTACTTATACTTTTTAGTCACAAAGAAGTCCCTGAGATTACAGGTATATTATGTATAAAGAAGACAGCTTGTTAAGGAATTTGAGCTCTTTTCCCTCTTCAGCTTGTGTGCTGAATTTTTTTTTCCTCGCTTATCAATCTGAAAGTTGATTTTTCTTGTAATATGCTGTCTCAGTCGTCGGATGCCTCCTCCAGTTACCCTAATTCCATTGAACTTCAACAACCCACATTGAGTTTGCTCAATTCGCTTCTTACTTCTGTTACAACTGCACTTGAAAGGGCGGCTGAAGAGAAATCCTTATTACTGAATAAGGTTAAAATTGAAAACAAACTAGTCTCTATATCTTCCCCTTCTGCTTTGGTTTACATTTTTGATTGTTTAATATTAATGTATAAGCAATATTTAAAATGTTACGCAGATTCGCGACATAAACGAATTGTCAAGGCAGGAGGTGGATGAAATCATCGATATGTGTGTCCGCCATGACACTGTTTCATCTTCAGATAACATACAGAAAAGGTTAATCATAATGTTTTGCTTTTCTTGAAGTCCAAAATGAATTCATCGAGGTTGATTTTTTTCCTTTGAATTTGTTACTCCCATATGCTGTATGGCACTGGTAAAATTGGAGCGAAACATATTTTACGTTGATCTAGCAAATGGACAAACTGCAGTAGTTCTGCTGTTGAATTATTTCGTACTTCCATTAAGTACTTAATACTGAGGTTCTTTTTCTGAATATATCTCTTAACTTTTAACCTTACTATGCAGATTGCCGAGGCTTATTTATATGCACTAGAGTTCTCTAGGACCTTGTGGGAGTTATGACATGTGTTCTTCCTATTTTAATGCTAATTTAAATAGCTATTATTACAGGATCGCTGAGTCTCTTATATGACTTCAGTTATTTGGTTCACCTGGCTATTACATCTAAATTGTTTAGATATAAATCTATTCATGAGCCTTCACCGATCTGCTTAAGCTTTTGAGGTGGTTGTTTATTGACATAGTATCAAAGGATTCAAAGCCTTTATGATCATGTGGTCAGGAATTTGATTCTACCCTCATTCGTCTAAATAAAAGTTGAATTTCCTCATGAGATAGTTGGATTTGTGCAATGTCTAGGTTTTAAAGCCAAAAGACTCTTGTTTGAGAGAATGTGTTGGATATAAAAATATTCATGTGCCTTCACCTTACAAGTTAAGCTATTGGGAGAGTTGGTTCTTGACATAAATAATGCATTTGTTGAGACTCAAAGAATGGGGTCTAACTGCTCTTAGAATGCCCATTCTCAAGAATACCTACAGCCATTACATACGTTAGCAGGTTTCTGAAATTTTCTGCTCCTTCCAGTGGAAAGTTAATTATGAAGTGAACGTTATGATTCAGATGTAGTTCATGTAACTTAAGGATCTTAGCTGATTATAAGCAGATGTTCATTTCATTTGTTCAAAGGCCTTAATTTTAGAATTCAAAGACTATTTGCTATTGTATATCTGCGCACATATTACTCATACATTACCCTGATACCCAAATTCCTAATATCTTTCTGCTTTTTCGGTAACATGCCTTTTATGTCTTAACCTATTTTACAGGAGATACATTGCAATGGTAGAAATGTGTCGAGTTGTTACCAGCAGGGATCAACTAATCATTTTGTTGCTCCCACTCTCTGAACATGTGCTAAATATCATCCTCATCCATCTTCAGGAGAGGTAAGCCATTAAGTTTCTAATTCTGGTTGTGAGAATGTTGTAAAATCCAGATACAATCATATATGCCTGAAGATCAACCTTTTATGGCCAAACAGAGGAATAAAAGAAGCCAAGCCTCCTAATCCTAATATAAAGAATGAGCTGTGGTGTTGTCATTGTATATATCTTCCTTTTATTCCTTTTTTGGGCTAATGTATCTTTTGGCAGCTTTGGTGCACTTGATTCTACATTGACAACAAACACAATTACGTATGGTGCAAAGTATGATCCACAAGAAGACATTGCTTTGTTATGTGGAAAGTTAGTTCCAACCCTTGAACGACTGGAACTGCTGAGTGAGGTATGGGTCACTCAATAACTTTTTTGTAGTTCTTTTTAACATCTTAGTGGTATTGTAAGTTTTGGTCTTTTCTGCTGAACTAATATTTGATAATATGGCCTTATTTGCAAGATTGTCATGTAGTATTTGGTAGAAATAAAGTTTCCCTTTAATGAACAATGTTAGTCTCATGACTAGTCTCAAACTGTGTGACCCGTGCACAAGCTAACTAACGTAGCCTAATATCCCTGAGTCATAAAGTTCTTCATCAAAAGGTAGCGGTAATGTCAATTTATAAATCTCACATTTCAAAAGAATTTCTACCCGGACATTTCGGCAAAATTCTCTGTGACTTGATTGTTTTAGAATATGAAAAAATTTGCTTATAGAATCAATGGAGCTACTCTAAAAGTAATGACATAAAAGGCTTTTAATCAAGATATACAATAAAAAAATAAAATTTAAGCTTTTCAACATAGGTTATGCTTCAAGCTCACCAATGAGAGTCGAATTGGATGCCCTCAATCAAATTGATGAGTGGAATTAGCTATAGTTGGGGTTAGATTATGATGTCCTTACTCCTTTCCAGAATCACTCAATTATGATATACAATAAGCTTCTTGCAAGCGAGAGTCACACAAGAGACATGCAAAAAGCTTAAATAGCAGGATTCTCGGGAGGGTTATCTGGGAGACTGGGATTAGATTTGGGCTTAGGAGAAATCATAGCTTTTCGAATTGCTTTGAATCTATCTTAATGTTTTTTTGTTAAAATTTCCTTATTGCGTTGTTTTTTTGTTGTCCTGTTTCGTTCATCTTTTGAGATTGTAATTTCCATTTTTTACCAATTTGGGAAAATTTGAATGTGATGCAAAACTGGGTCCGTACTTCGGCACAAAATGTCTAATAAATGAAAAATAATTTAAAATGATTCTTCATCAAGAAGACCAAAGTGCTGTGAGAATAATAATTAAAGGTCAAAATAATTTAAAATGATTCTTCATCATTCGGAAAAGTTCACCGCCCCGTACAGGTACTGTTCAACGTCCGTACAGCTCCATATGGGGTACTGTTCACTGTCAATACAGTCCGTCTGGGGGGTACTGCTCATTGTCCGTACTGTTCACGCAGAGCATTGTTCGTCACCAGAGTTACTGTTCATTGCTATAAACATTGTTTCGGCATTTGTCTCTTTTTTCCAGATCTGTTCTTGGTTCTTTGTGGGTCACTTGTTTGGCGCATGTTCCTTCTTGTTTGGCTATCCTTTTGATCCGATTTGCTTTGTTCTGCAGGTTTTTTATTGCATTCGTAATAGTAAAATCATCTCTTGCTCCTGATTCATCTTTTGTTGTTTATTCCACTGCTCTTGTTTCCCGAACTGACTCTCACGGGAACAGTGGACGCAGTCAAAGACCATGTTATAGTTACTGTCAGCAACTTGGTCATTATGAGGAGCGTTGTTACACGAAGTATCCTTACTTGCGACCTTCTCATGTTGCGAATATAGTTCAGTTGAATACTCCATCTGGTTTAGTCTCTCTCTCCCCTGCAAACTATGCAACACTTCAGACTCTTCTCAAGAAGGCTTCTCCTCAGTCTCATCCTTCTGCTCCAGATACTTGTAATCCCATTGCTTGTGTTTCTCATTCTACATCGCTTGGCACTTGGATATTTGACTTAGGTGCTACCGATCATCTCTGTGGTAATAAGGAACTATTTACACCTTACTTATTCTGATCATTTACTTTCTGTTACCCTTGCTGATGGAACCAAAGCCCTAGTTCGTGGGATTGGACAAGCTTGTCCGATCTCTACCTTGACCTTGACATCTGTCTATTACATCCTTGGTATCCCTTATAACTTAATTTCTGTTAGTCAATTGGTCCACTCCCTCACTTGCATCGTTACTTTCTTTAACAATTCTGTTTCTGTGCAAGATACGAGTACGGGGAAGACGATTAGAGTGGGTCGTGAGTCAAGAGGGTTTTATTATCTGGTTGTACCTTGCCCAACAGTGGCATGCTCTCTCATAGAATCTCCACAACTTATCCACAGTTGTCTTGGTTATCCAAGTCTTTCAAAATTGCAAAAGATGGTTCCTTTTTTATCTGGTATTCAATCTTTAGATTGTCTGTCGAGTCAGCAAGGGAACCACACACGTTCCTCCTTTGCCAGTCGAGTCAGTAAACGAGTTGATGCTCTTTTCTCTCTTATTCATTCAGATATTTAGGGTCCAAGTCGTACTTTGTCTGTTTTAGGTTTTCGGTATTTTGTTACTTTTATTGATAATTATTCCCATTGTACTTGGGTTTATCTGATAAAAAATCGTTCTGAGTTATTCTCTATTTATAAAAAGTTCTCTGCTGAGGTTCATACTCAATTTAGTGTTTTTATTCGTATTTTACGTACTGATAATGCTAAGGAATATGTTTCTTTTGACTTTTCTAATTTCTTGGCTACTCAAGGTACTTTACACGAGACCACTTGTCCTCACACTCCACAACAAAATGGGATGGCCGAACGTAAAAACAAGCATCTCATTGAAACTGCCCGTACCTTTCTTATTCACATGAAGGTTCCTCTTCACTTTTGGGCGGATGCCGTACTCGCCTCTTGTTTTCTTATCAATCGCATGCCTTCCTCTGTGCTTAACAATGACATTCCCTATAACCTATTGTTTCCAGATGCTCCTCTTTATCCTCTATCTCCACATGTCTTTGATTGTACCTGTTTTGTTCATGATCTTACTTCTGGTTAGGACAAGTTAACATCCAAAGCCTTTAAGTGTATTTTTCTTGGTTATGCTCGTCTTCAAAAGGGTTATCGTTGTTATTTTCTTGATCTTAAGCGTTATATTGTTTCCGTTGATGTCACTTTTCTTGATCAACAACACTTTCATTCTAACCTATCTCAGTTGTCACAGGTTGATCAGGTTCTTCCTGTTCCCTTTCTTGACTTGTCTTTACCAGCTGCAGGTGACTCTCTTCCAGAGAAAAGTACCTCCTTCCCTGAGGATCGTCTTTTTCTCACCTATCAACGTCGTCAGGGAGTGCCTCCTACAGACTTGACCCCCGGTGACTCATCGCCTTCTCTTGTCACCTCTTCCTCTCTTCCCCTCCTGCTCCTATTCCAGAGGCTCTTCTCATTGCCAAAAGAAAAGGTATCCGTACTACTTATAACTGTTATCCTCTTTATGCTTTTTTAAGCTATGACCGTCTTTCTATTCCTCATTTCACGTTTGTTTCTAGTCTTTCTTCTGTTTCTATTCCTAAGACCACAAGTGATGCACTTTCCCATCTAGGGTGGCGCTAGGCAATGTTTGATGAGATGACTGCTCTTCATTTCAATGGCACTTGGGATCTTGTTCCTTCTCTTCCGGGGAAGTCTATTGTTGGTTGCCAGTGGGTCTTTAATGTCAAGGTCGGGCCTGATGACCATGTTGATCGTCTCAAGGCACGCTTAGTCGCCAAGGGTTTTACTCATATTTTTGGTCTTGAATATAGTGACATGTTCTCCCCTGTTGCTAAGATGGCGTCTATTCGCATGTTTCTTGCCTTTGTTGTTGTTTGTCACTGTCCCCTCCTTCATCTAGACATTAAAAATGTTTTTCTTCATGGTGATTTACAAAGAAGAGGTTTCCATGGAGAAACCACCTGGATTTGTTGCTCAGGGGGAGTGTAGGAAGGTATGCAGACTTCGTAAGTCCTTATACGACTTCAAGCAGTCTCCTCGGGCATGGTTCAGCTGTTTCAGTTGTGTCGTTCAGGCTTTTGGCTTAATCCACAGTAAGGCCGATCATTCTGTGTTTTATAGGTTCACTTCTCCTGACAAGTGCATCTATCTATTAGTCTATGTTGATGACATTATTCTCACTGGAAGTGATCAAGCTAGGATTCACCAGTTAAAACAGTTTTTGTTTAGTCATTTTCAAATGAAGGATCTTGGTAAGCTCCGTTACTTCTTAGGAATTGAAGTAGCACAATCTAGACAGGGAATTTCTATCTGTCAAAGGAAATATATGCCTTGGATATCCTAAAGGAGACTGGTATGTTGGGGTGAAAGCCGATTGATATACCTATGGATCCTGCTATCAAATTACTAGCCAGACAGGGAGAGCCATTATCTGATTTGGACATTATCAGAGGTTGATTGGGAAGCTTAATTATCTCATTGTGACTATGCCGATTATTTCTTTTGTTGTTAGTGTGGCTAGTCAGTTCTTTGGTTCTCCTTGTGATTCTCATTGGGATGATACTGTGAGGATTCTTCGGTACATAAAAGGAGTATCGGGGAAAGGCTTATTATATTTAGATAAGGGAAATACAAAAATTTGTGGTCATTCAGATGCTGATTGGGCAGGATCACCCCCAGATAGGCTCTACTTCAGGCTATTGTGTCTTCTTTAGAGGAAATCTAATTTTTTGGAAAAGTAAGAAACAAATTGTTGTTGCCCGCTCTAGTGCAAAGGCCGAGTATCGTGCAATGGTAGTTGCTACCTGCGAGCTAATCTGGTTAAAGAAATTGATTCAGGAGCTCCATCTTTGTGAATAGAAACAGCCCATGACACTCATTTGTGACAATCAAGCTGCACTACATATATCATCCAATCCTGTATTTCATGAGAGAACCAAACATATACAAATCGATTGTCATTTCATTCGAGAAAAGATTCAGTCAGGAGAAATCAAAATGGCATTTGTCAACTCCATTGATCAACTCGTGGATGTCTTCACTAAAGCTCTTAGAGGTTCTCGGTTGAATACATTTGTGGCAAGCTAGGTGCTTACAATATATACGCACCAGCTTGAGGGGGAGTGTTAGAGTAGTTGTTAGAATAGTTCAGTGTATATAGTCCCACATCTTGTGGGCTTAGCCCATTAGGTCTTTTAGTTTCTTTAAATATAGAGCTCTTGTACATTATAACACACATTTATTCAATATACAAATATTCTATTATTCAATTTTAAGTTGTCACGCAAGCCTAAGGGGAGGCCGTGGCAGGGGGACAACCACCAATGGGCTAAGCTACATCAACCGTAGCAAGTGGGTCCGACACCACATCTTAACCCAAAACCTTAAGGCATTGGGTTCATGGGTCCTCCCCACTTATATGGACTTCACTTAGTCCATTATCAACTAATGTGAGATTCATCACACTTGAATATCTCAACAATCTCCTCCCCAAGTGTGAACCCATCATTGATATGTTCCCCCTCAACCGAGTACCTAGGGCCCAAGTACTCCACCCGCCTTCTAGCCAAACACTTGGCTAGCTCGAGCCCAACTCGGCTCTGATACCATTGTTGGGCGGGCCGAAGGGGAGGCCGTGGCAGGGGGACAACCCACCAATGGGCTAAGCTACATCAACCGTAGCAAGTAGGTCCGACACGACATCTCAATCTAAAACCTTAAGGCATTGGGTTCATGGGTCCTCCCACTTATATGGATCCCACTTTACTTTTTTTAGTCAGAAAAAACCCAAATATCTCGTCAAGCCCATCACCTCGAGCTTCTTACCCTCGAAGTCGATGGCCGACAGCCTCACGATCTGGTCTGACACCTTCTTCGATGAGAGGTTAGGGTTTTGGAGAAGAAGGAGAGAGAAGAGAGGCGATGGACTTGTGAAGACAGCCTCTGCAGATTCGCCACTACCATTGTCGGTTGGGTTCAGAAGACCTTCTCGTTATCTAAAGAGAGTCATCCTGTGTTGTTTGGAATGAAAAATTTAAGAAATGATTGTACTAAAAAAAAAATTAAGAAATGGCGATGTTGGTTGGAGGCTTTCTCCCCTGGGTTGGACCTTAATTGCTTTTCAAGTAAAATAAAGAAAATAAAAAATACAAGTTGAACAGGAGTATTTGCAGATAGGCAGAATTGCTTTTCAAGATATTTCGATTAGGCAGATTAGGAGTATTTTTTTTATAAGTATGTTGTTTGTCAATTTTTTAATATTATATTTCGATTGCATGACCCACACTCCTTAATATTAATATTATATTATAACATTTTTTTAATAGTTAATATTGTCAATTTGTCACATACTGTTTGACATTTGGATTATGAGTTTTACAATTAATGTTAGTTATTTTACATTTATATATAATTGAATATAATTTTATATCTTAGGTAATAGGATCTTACGATACGTGTCGATCCCACAATTTACGATTTTATAATACCTTCCCAATCCTGCAGAGGATCTCAATTTTAACAACATTGATTAATTTGCGATGATTCGTCCATTAATTCCTCCAAATGTCCCTTATTACTCAAGGAGCATCCAGGTCTATTATAACCACGCCCACAACTGAGATCACGGTTACTATTGCATGAGACAAGATCCTAGTTTCCCATTGGGCTGAAGCACCAAAAAATGCCAAGAGGGCAGAAAAGCCAAACAATTGCTGGAATGAGCCAAAAGGAGAAGGTAAAAGTTTTTGTAAAAAGGCTTCTGGATCTGCTAGTCACTAGCCGGAAAAGTCATTGGGCTGGCCAAAAAAAGATGGAATGGTGGACCCACTCACGGGTTAGACCAAATCTGGAAAGAGGGGAGCTAGACGAGATGTTTTGTGGTGGTCCCACCAGAAATGGCAGATGAAAAGTGTCTTGCCCCGAGAAAAGGTTATTGTTGCCGTGAACTTGGTTGCTGAAAAATTGGGAACGAATGTTTGACAATGACAGATGGTGGTAGTCGAGGACTGACGAAAGGATGCATGGCAGTGATGGTTTGCTGGTAAGACACATGGCAAGGAAGACAGTTGTGCAACAGGCACAACGGGATTGGGATTAGGTTTTTGCAGAAGCAAAGTCTCCATTATTAGGAACAAGGATTCTATTTATAATATTGAGTTAATAGGGGTTGGGCACTATTTACGCATATATATCCTATGCATATATATTCTATTAAACACCAATACAAAAGCAAGGAAAATTTGCAAGAAAGAAAACATGAGTTTAACGACAATTCGAGAGGTCCTGTTCTCTCCCCACCCTAGTCCTAGTCGTCCCGTTCTCTCCCAACCCTAGTCCTAGTCCCAATTTGTCGTTCACACTCTCCTAGCACCTATTTATCTACTCATTTTCTTTACGCATGTTGCAGTCCAATACCTCTCATGCTCTCAACCGATTCCCCAGCAAACAGTTTAGAGAATATTCTCCTATAACTAGCTGACTCAGCATGCAAAGGAGCTAATGATCTCCTGCACTTCTTCCTAGAATACCCTTATGCCTAGTATCCTATCAATACTTCCCCCCTTAACATTCACCTTGTTCTTAAGGTGAGGATCAAACCGTGAAAACTCTCCTCCGGAATCCCATTGTCTTTCTACACTAATCCCATAAAGCATGAGGAATGGAAGGATCAGCTTGCAAGATTTCTTTGGGAATTTCAATATTATCACCCTCTTTTGCACTTTCATTTGGCCATATATTAACGATACTGACTAGGACCTCTTTAGCTCTAAGTTGCAACGTGCACATACGAAGTAAGAACTCGTATAAGAGGATCATTCACTTCCTGTGTCACTAGATGTGAGAAAAACTCAGCAATCAACTATATACATAATACAACGGCATATACCCATGGTTCACCCGGACTGCCTTCATAAAAAACCACGTCTTCTAGATTAGAATCAACCTCCTTGCTGGAATCAACAATTTCATTAGAGGCATAAACATTGGTATATTCAACGAAGCCTTTAGCTCCAACTGAAGCTAAACCTGCATCCACACTCTCAAGGCAAGCATCAGGCGTTTGCAACTGCATGTAACCTGAGGTTTTTCAACTTTAGTAGCATTTTTCATGCAAATTTTCATTATAATAGGTACATAAGGCTGTTATTGCTGGACAAGTGGCCTCAAAATTCAAGCGGTAAACGAATTGAGTTCTTAAGAAGAAAAAAAAAATGTAAAAAGCCTCTTCTCTTTTTGAAAAAGCAATTTTCTCAATTTTCTATTTTATTTGAGTTAACAAAGTGAAGGTGTGACAAGATATGAACTGATTGCGCCACAATACAGCAACAAAGTAAGCTCAAATAATGAATAAAATACTAAATAGAGTTTAAGGTAGAGAGAAATGCAAATAGTATTTATCCTAGTTTGGCTACCATCAATTGTGGCTTATGTCGGATCCTTGAGCAAATCATCCAAGATTTTCCACTATTCATCAAGTTTTTAGGGTATTTAAGCAAACCACTGCAGCCTCAATTTGTAGTACTTGGTATCACAATTCTTCTGAAATTTCCTGGGTATTGGGTAACCTTTCACTCTCTTTGGGTATCGCTCCCCTTTAATATGAAAAATATAATGAAGGAATTGTGACTTATTTAATTGGTATAAATGCTCACCTTTTCGCCATGCTGCATCCTTATTGAAACTAAGGCATGTGTTAAAGGCTGCTATTATGTTTTTTGTTTTCGGCCCTTGACCTGGCTACTGGGGAATAGTAATCAGTCAGGTGTTCTAGGGTGGAAAAATAAATTCAGAAGGTAGGTTCTTTATTTTGGTACTTTAGACATATGTTGGGCTTATTGATGCTATTAATATTTGTTTTACAATACTGAAATCTCAGTTAATGTTTTTTTCATTCTCTTATATGGTGGTTGCTTGTTTTCTCAGGAAAAAGTAGGGCACAATCTCAAAGTATTCTGCAGACTAGCAACTTCTGCCAAAGAGATTGCGATTCAAAAGTTGATGTTGTAAATGTATTAAAGTATCCTGACGAATTGAATTACTTGAATCAACTGCTTGCGAACTGGAAATTAAGTCAAGTGTAAGTACTTAGTCTCGCCTAATTGAGTTCATCCTGTGATGGGGTATCGACTTCAGGCGTTCTAGTGCGTAAGCAAGTGAGATTTGTGGTGATATTCCTGAACCTTATTTAAATTTTGTAATGTTGATGTGTAGATGAAAGTCAGAAATGCGGAGGTAAGTTGAATGGACGTAAGTTAATATTCCAGTGCCAACAGATCGGCTACAGTCGAGAGTGATGGCTCCACTTCTCTTAAGCCACCAAGTCCAAGGTATTCAAACTGGCATCAGTCCCTAGAGATGCATTTCGTTCAACATGATTATTGGGAGGTTTTAGTTTAGGCTTTATTTTATTTTATTTTATTGTCGGTAAACAGTTTAGGCTTTATTACTAAGGGTTTGAATAGTCTGTAATTTTAAGTTTTATTTTACTCCTTAAATTGTATTTAAATTTATGTAATGAGGATTTAGGCATAAATTGTCACAAAACGCTACATCGAATTGCTGACCTAGTAGCTCCATGGCATTGGGTACTAATTTGTTAATGCTGTATAAATATAGTTCTTCAAATTAAATAATTTTTCATTTAATAACCCTAAATTGTAAACAAATGATGTACAATATGAGGGAAAAATGTTATTGTTGCAGAAATTTTTTTTTGTTATACTCATAAAAATGAGTGGGTTCCATTGTAAAGAGGAGAAAAAAAAATTAATGAGATTCATTTACTTTTGTGAGTGGCAAAGAATTTTTTTTACAGTAAAAATAGGAATATTAAACTTAATATATATTTAAAATAAAATACCTATCATTTTATTATTAAGCATAATTAACCGATTTAAGGTTCTACATTGTAAATTAGGAACAATATTGTAAAGAAATGAAATGTTTTACTAAAGCGAATTACATATATTTTGAGCTTTTTTTCGAGGTACCACTACGATAAAGATACTTTTTGTGGGTATGGCCTTTTCTTATGCCTAATCTGTGCCATTTTGAATTACCAAGGGCCATAAGTGTTCACCATGTTACAAATGCAACTAGATTGTGGGCGATCATAACATCTTAATTCAACATCAGTATTGAGTTCCTTTTATACATAGATTAGCCTAACTCCTTTAAAATAAAAAAGTAGAAGATAGAACAAGAACACAACATAAATCATGTAGAAGTAAGCTTACTCAACACATATTTTCTTTTCCAAGCCATTTCATTAATTTTCTTTAATTTTTGTTTGGGCGGGTTCAAACATGAAACATAAAATAAAACAACTATTTTTTTTTTCATGAAATTTAAAATTGAGAAGATCTGTCCTATTTATCCTCTTCCTCTGTCTTCTCAATCAATTTCTCGTCATCTTCTTCCTCTTTTGCCTTTTCTTCCCCTTCTCCTTCGGTTTGCAAATTGCTAGTTGTTGCATCATCATCAGGGCCTTGAATGGTTGGAGAGGGAAAACTAAGTTGGTTGATCACAAACTTGTCCATCTCGTTTAACTTCTCCATCACGAGCCTTATTGTCTCTGTAACAGCCCGTTGTACACAGGTATTGTTAACATTGATTATAATATTAAGCGCAGTTACAATCACAGCAGTTCATTTATAAAAATGCGAGTAAACTTTTTTCTTTTCATTACGCGAGCATTTAAAACAAATATAAAGCGTAATGAATAAAAGTTGTGACCATAACTGAAAACTAAACGTGGAATAATTTAAAACAAATGCCTAACTATCATATAATACTTCTCTCAAGTCACTAAGAGGTTCTCATAAATTCACTTAGCATAATTTTCACTTTTACGGTTTTTTCATAACCGAACATGGTTCAGTAATCTGAATATTGTGAGAGATTTGCATGCTATGAACCTTCTATCTATTAGTATATTATAGACTTAATTATCTTTCCAACAAACTATCACACGCTCCATAAAGTTCTCGTTTACTCCGGTTATCACCGTTTGAAGTTGGACAAGCAAAGCTGCCAGCCAACATCGAACAGGGCTCCAAACTTGGACAAACTACTCCACCAATTTCTCTCAAATTTTTATACAGTAAACTAGACACCTCAAGCTTCAATTTGACATATCATGGGCCTAATTTGATCAAGAATTGAGGCGGGAATAATTTTTCCAAAAACAGCACCCGACAGCCCCATGTACAGGGCACTTCAGAACAATCCTCACTCTTCGGCCTCTACAGGTCTGCGTACAACTCCAATGGCTACCAAATTTTGACGCAATATAGTTGACATCCCAAGATTCAAAATGGTGTATGGAACGTCCCTATTGGACATCTGTGGAGGGAGATATGCTCTCCCAAAGTTCACCCAAAATCTTTCATTTTATAGAAAATTCGACAGTACCTCCTTTGTTTATTCAACCTATCCCACTTTATCAAAAGTGTGTTATCTATCATCAAGGGTACCTAATATTCAAGGGTGGCACTCAAAGACCAGCAATGCCTTGGTGCTCTTACAACCCATCACAATTTATCTCAATTTACTTAATTTACGTCTCATTACTTACAATTTCAAAACTTAAACCATTTCAATCACTTTGATCCATTTGCATGCATTCTTTAACATATACATAATCATCAACTAAAAATAGGCCTATTTCCCTTTCATCATACATCGTCCTTTGATAATACACAAGGTATAACTAGACTTAGGCAAAAAGATGGCATGAACAAATATGATAATATGCATCAACCTAACTCCATATACAATGTTCATGCCCTAAGTCTAGCCTAGGCCAAGTGGCCTCAAAATGCAAAATAGACTCTAGGTCCATATGCTCATCCTACGGGCCTTTTGCCCACAGCTCCCGGCACACTGCTGCTACCTGAAATAAAGTCTCCAAAATGGGATGAAATATACGAATATATCTCAGTAACCCAGAGGCTTTGGAGATTACTCCACCCAATGGCTCACTCAGATGTAAATCAATAATATACTACAACAACCAAAAAGGGATAAAGCAAGAGATTTAGTAAAGTAGGGATGCATAGGGAGTAAAAATACGATGAAGCTAGAATAGTCGGCCATAGCCACGCAACATCCGGCCTATTGGCCACGACATATAGCTTACTGGTTCTCATCCAAGGAAGTGTTCCCAAAACATCAACCAAGGTACCCCCCCCATCCATATACACCCGAGACATTCCTAAAGTGCTCCTCAACAGATGACACCCCATGACCCTAGGTCAACTGAGACTCCCTCACGGAGACCTATCCAGTGGAAGTTCGTAATGTCCGAAGGCAACAGTCTACTGGCCAGAGACACGGTACATCCTATGTACCACTATACACACATAAATGCATGAGCATGTTATAATACATTTTTAACATCCACCTTCAACCACTACCCCCAAGGGGCATGATGGAGCACACACGGGGACTAAATCCCAGTACCAAGGGATTATCTGATGATAGCTCCCTCTCTTGGTAGCTCCAATTCAATATGCCACTGAGCTTGATCCAACAAGAAATACCTACACATAGGTCATTCTCACCTCAATTACAATCAATTAAAAACATATACATGCTTACTCAAGTATTCATGTATATTTACATAACCACTTATCACAATCCTTTTGGTCAAGGACTAAAGGCAACCCACCGAGCTCAATGCTCCAAGTTTACGTCTGTGAGAGGCAACCTACAATGATCACACAAGGATCATCAACACAAGGTGCCACCAACCAAAATTTCAAAGCACCAAGATCCCACCTTCCCACATACACAATGATTCAGCCATATGGCTAATAATTACAAACCCATTTTCTTAATTTAGTTTCAAGGTTCCTATGGCTCCATAAGCTCAACCCAACACCAATTCAGGCCCTTAATTCAATTTAATACCATTACAACACCATTTTCCTTAAATTATGTCATTATGGCCGAATACACACACTCACACACATCCAATATTTTTCCTTCCAATTCAACTACATCACACCAACATACAACCTATTTAAACACCATTCATAATCACACAACACCAATTACATAATTTTTACATCATCCATCCTTATTTCCCCTCATTGGCCGAATTCAACATGTATGTGCACTAAAGGATTTTTGATCCATTTCAACACTTCCACACACCATACAATCTTATAATTAACTCATACAAATACTCCACAACTTAATTATATAATCCTACAATCATACCAATTCACAAAGTATTGAAATTCCAACTCAAAATTTTCCTAAGTTATAAACTTTTTCACCAATAAATTTTATGAGCTCAATCATCATAAAATATCATTCTAAGCCACTTTTATCTAATACACATTTTCAATTTGAGCTCTCTAACTACATCAATCCATGCACAATAGCTTTAGATTTTCAAATTTGAATCTACCAAATCAACCAATTAAAAGTGTGGAAACTTACTCACAAGCAAGGCCTAAGACTCTTCCACACCATACCAAAGCATTGGAGGATCAATCAACTCCAAGAACCTCAAAAACCTTCACTTGGCCGCGGGTATAGATGGGGGTTTTCTCTCAAATTAGTGGGTTTCAAGGGCAACCAATGGGTGGGTTGTGTTTGGATGATGATTTTCTTAAACTTTGGTGACAAACTTTGTTGGTTTTGAGTGAGAAATGAGTGAGTTTGGAGGACGAGAAGATTTGGAGCAAAACTTGCTCTCCAATGGGGGCCCCACAGGTTTGAGTTGGGGGGGGGGGGAGGAGAGAAGGAGAAATGCCCATGTGGCATGTATACTTAAGTAGGGTGGGTCTCACTGCCACCTCACATGATTTAAACTAATTCAAATCTCCCGCTTATTCCACTAAACGTCCATAATTTTCTAAACTATTTAGAAACTTCAATTTTAACATTAACCATTATCCTTTAATTGTCCTTGATCAGATGAATTCAGAGTTTTCCGTTCGTTCGAAGAAATCACAGTTTTAAGCTGTTATGCGCGTTGTGAGCATGTTTTCCCAAAACCCTAATTTCGATCAATTATCACCAGAAATCATATTTCCTAGTCCTATGTATCATTTATAACTTATTTCCAAACCTAGAGCTCAAAATTCATTCGGCGCGCTTTACGGTGCATCTGTATCGCGATATTTTTACCCAGTAAAAATAATATTCATCAAATTTCAGAAACTTTTCTAACCACTCAATTTTTTGTTTTGAATCCATTTCCAGTGTTAATTTTTTCATTTGAGATCTTCTACTCAATTTTTCTTTCCTTAGGTTACGTGTTTGGCAAATTATCATTTTATCCTTCTTTTGTATTTTTGCCCTAATTTCAGGATTTTCACTAATCCTACCCCTTAATCCATATTTTCATATGTAATTATATATTTTAGAAATACGAGGTGTTATAGTCTCCATCTTCTCCCTTTCTATCTTCTCCAACTTTGCTTCAACCTTATTCCAAATTTCTCCTTATATTTCTATTGTTGTTGACGATGTTGTAACATTCCTGGTTCGTGGTTTTGATAAAGACCCCTTACTTTCTTGTCTATCTTCTTTGTAGTATAATGGTGATTGGTTCTGTTATTTTTAGTAGTTCCTCATATCCAGCAATGGGAACGTTTGCCTCTCTGCACAACACGATAATCAATCTAG